TGATACTTAATTTGGAATGAACTTTGCAAGTCATTCCGTAGCGTTTAATTTTTTTCATATCTTGAATCTCTTACTATCATTAAATAAGGAAGAAATTGCAGGTTTAAATGTATAGTTCTCACAATGTAATAAACGACAGTACTTGCAACCTGTGCAGTCGCACGAAGAGGCATGGTTAGGGACAGAAAAAGTTTGGATTTAGAAGTACGATTGACATTACCAAATGGCAAAGTTAAAGGCAGATAGATTTTTTCTCTGTTATTTACACTAATAAGCGGGAGGGCAAGAACGCCTTTCTAATTGTTATTTGAAATTAAATTTTACAATTTACTTTACTTTTGCTTTTAATTTACTTTCTACAGCCGCATTCAGTACGTGAAACCGTCAATAATAATATAATAATGATAATAAAAATGGTATCACACAACTAAAAGTATATACTACTTCGTAAATTTCGATAAATTAATTACTGAAAATATTAAGCATATCAATGGCAGCGTTGGACCTAATAGTTTTAAGTTGCATTTCAACATTTGAAAGAACGCGAATTACATTGCTATTTTCACCACACAAACGAATGGAATATTTCAGAAAAGAATTCTCCCCCGTTATTACAATATTTCAATAATTTTCGCAAATTAAAAAATTTATTTAATACGTTTTAATAATAAATGAAGCGATTTTCACTCATATAATCCCTTTGTACATTACTATCTTTCATTTCAGAACCACTGCATAACTTTTCTAAGACATAAATAGCTTCCGTTAATATATGTTCCCATACATTATATTTATTTTTTTATATTTTTGTCTTTAATAAATTAATGATAGATAGATAAAAAAATTGATACTGCTTAATTTATAAGCAGCGTAAAAACTGGAAATCTGAGGTCATTAATTTCCGAGACATTAATAGTTTTTCAAGATGCAAATAAAGCAGATAACAATAATCATAAATATTAATGCTCCTAAAATATATCCGCATTTCCTAACTGATTTTTGCTTTTTGATCCACCACAAACCTATTTTCATTAAATGAAGTTTTGCGCATTTCTCTGCAAAGTACGCAAAACTTGTTTCATACAACTTTATTTTAACTAAACGTTATACTTGTTTAGGGAAGTATAAAACAAGTATTTATGTGTACTACTTTTAAAATCCATGTGACAGAGTGTGAGTTCTCATCTTGAAATATACGTTGTGTCGATGAGCTTAACTACAAATTATTAAACATTTCTGGCAAAATGCCAAAAATTAAAAACAAAATTTTTTAAACACGTCCTGCGCTGTATCTGCAGGATCTATCAATCAATCAATCGACTCGACAATCGAAAATCAATCGACTTGAATGGAGCTCACCAACATGTAAAAAGCGTTTCTATTAATATGCAAGATATGAGAAAGAAGTTTGAAGACATTATGAAAGAAGCAGAGTTTTGAATATACAATTCTTGTATATTCACAAAAATACAAATATACAAATTTTATATACAAATTTTTGTATATAAAATAAATGGGACATAGAAACTAAATTTGAAAAATAGAAGAAAATAAAAACAAGAAAATATTGATGAGTTATGTGAGGATAACAGGCTTGAAAATTCCGAAATGTCTTTTAAAGTAACAGTTTTTTATGCTGCTCTCGACATTTTAAATACTCAGTTAAAATACAGAATGACTGGAATAACAAAAATCGCAATGATGTTTTCATTTTTGGAACTTAAATTTCCGTATTTGTCATTGTTAACAAATACGGAAATTATTAATAACTAGCGGGCTGAAGCCCGCTTTTAATTGTTGACGTGTATAAGAGTTCCTATGTTAAATATCACCGTTATGCCATAGTTGGACCGAACTACCAGGGTTCAGCGGTTTTGCGCGGGTTCCCCCTGCTTTATTCCCGTGCGCATCCAGAAGATACTGCATACACGTCACACATGCGTAAAATCACGAAAACACCTAAGCAGGCAGCCCGCTCGCCGGGATTCGAACTTTGGACCGAACTACCTGTGTTCAGCGGATTTGCGCGGTCTGCGCCCGCTTTATTCACTTGTGCATCCAGAAGATACTGCATTCCCAATACACATGCGGAAAATCACTGAAACACATATAGAGTCAGCCTGTTGGCCGGGATTCAAAAGTTGGACCGAACTACCAGCGTTTAACGGTTTTGACCGGGTTACGCCTGCTTTATTCACGTATTCATCCAGAAGATACTCCGCACACAATACACATGCGTAAAATCACGAAAACACCCATGCAGCCAACCCGCTAGCCGGTATTCGTAAGTTGGACCGAATAACCAGCGTTCAACGGTTTTTCGCGGGATTCATCCGCTTTATTCACCTATGCATCCAGAAGATACTGCATACACGGTACACATACGTAAAATCACCCAAACACCCATGGACCCAGTCTGTTTTCCGGGATTCGAAAGTTGGACCGAACTACCAGCGTTAAACGGTTTTGCGCGAGCTGCACCCGCTTTATTCACGTATGCATCCAGAAGATACTGCAAACATCATACACATGCGGAAAATCAAGAAAACACGCATTCAGCCAGCCCGTTAGCCGGGATTTGAACGTTGGACCGAATTACCAGTGTTCAGCGGTCTAAGCGGGCTGCGCCCGCTTTATTCACATATGCATCCACAACATACTTCATAAACGTTACACATGCGGAAAATCACGAATATTTGTCATTGTTAACAAATACGGAAATTATTAATAATGTTTCAAAAATACAGAAAAAAATATAAAGAAGACTTTGCTAATGTACTGGAAGTACAACTTTTATTATTTATAAATACTTTCAGAACAGATATCCAAAATTTGAAATCCGTTAAGGATTTAGCTAAATTAGCAATGGTAAAATACTATATGACATGACAAGCAGTTAATCGGGAGTGCAATTAACTTATATTGTATTTATCATTCATTATCTGTAACCAAAGCCACGAGCGAGAGGTCATTTTCAATAATAAAAACATATTTAAGAAACACTATGATACAAGATCGGTTGTTAAACCTATCACTATTGAGCGTTGAAGTTGACATGGCTGTGAAAATGGACGTCCAGGTATTGATAAATAATTTTGCGGAAATGAAGGTTAGGAGACGCAAATTTTAATAAAAAAGATTTTTGTCTTTATGATGAATTTCGGTCACCAGTGTTATAATTACACTTATTGAGGGGGGGGGAATTAGAGAAGAACAGCAGTACGGGCTGAGGGAAAATTAAAAAGAAACAGGAAAAATCTTTAGCATTCATGTTTTTTTATAAAAATGATGTATTCAAGTAGTTTAGTGTACCAAAAGGATTTTTAAAAGGACAGCAAAAATATTACATATTTTCTACTAAAATTGTATATTCAAATAGTTTTCTTTATGAAGTTTATGATAAATATGTTTTATATTTAACAAATGTACTTGTATATTATTGCATAAATTATGTTCGTAAGTTGAGTAAAATCACAGAGTACTATCTATTGATGTAATATTTTTTCTGTACGTTTATCAATTATCTTGTCTGTCAATATCAATTATCTATCACTCACACGCACGCACACAAAAAGTCTTAAATTACAGAATTAAAATCATCTGACGTCAAATACCCAGACTAAAGCAAATTTGCATTTCACCAGTTAGCAAAGGGGAAATATTTTCCTTTTTATTCTTTCTTCATATTACATAACTTTCAAATGGTTCCCTGAGAACGTGCTTTTATTTTTTAACAATTAATCCAGATGTGATAAAAATCATGAAAACATTGGCTCCAGGAATCCTTGATTTTTTTTTTTTTTTTTTTTTTTTTTTTTTTTTTTACTTTTCACGTTTTTTTTCTTTAGTTTAATTTTTATTTTTAAGCACATTAAATTTATTGGTTTAGGGACCCAGGAAATTATTTTGCATACGGGACCAAGAATTCTAGTTACACCACTGTCTATAATGTATATATGCGTAGCTAGTATATGTGTAATGATGAAACTACCAGTGCTTACATACTTTACCGCCAGGCCGCTGCTGAACCCTTCATTAATTAATGACATAATCACACAAAGCCACGCATTTACACACAACTCGTGAACATAACAAGCAACCAGCGCATTAGCGGGATTCGAACTTCGGACAGAACTACCAGTGCTCACACACTTTACCGCCAGGCCGCTGCTGAAATCTTCATTAATTAATGACATAATCACACAAAGCCACGCATTTACACACAACTCGTGAACATAACAAGCAACCAGCGCATTAGCGGGATTCGAACTTCGGACAGAACTACCAGTGCTCACACACTTTACCGCCAGGCCGCTGCTGAAATCTTCATTAATTAATTACATAATCACACAAAGCCACGCATTTACACACAACTCGTGAACATAACAAGCAACCGGCGCATTAGCGGGATTCGAACTTCGGACAGAACTACCAGTGCTCACACACTTTACCGCCAGGCCGCTGCTGAAATCTTCATTAATTAATTACATAATCACACAAAGCCACGCATTTACACACAACTCGTGAACATAACAACCAACCCAATTATTCTACACTTATATAATAATTCTATAATTATTCACATTATTTAAGTGATATGATTCATTAGTGTAATTGTACTGGCTCGTATACACACGAGGAAAACCACGAAATTTCCAATGCAGCCAGGGCAATATGAAAGACAAAAAAATGTAACAAATAACCAACAATTAAAGGTTACCAATAATAGTGTACAACAGAGATGTATACCTCTCGCCAACTGAAAACAATTGTTAAATTCAATGGAAATGAATTTTCAAAATCAACAGACATGCGGTCTTTAAATTTTGTACATCCGAACTGTCTTCTCTCTTAAGCAGCAATATGACAAAACATTTAAAAGAAGAGCATATCTTTAGAATTTCCGATAGACAGTCTTGCGCCGAACAGTGTTGCCATTGCTCGCTTAGAAATCGTCGAGTTTCTTAATCAAAAACACATAAATGCTTTACAAAATGTTAAATAGTTAATAAAACAAATTACAAATTTGAGCTTTCAGATGCCCATATTCGGGTGGTGACGTACATATTCAAAATTTCATAGCTGTAGGTACCGTTGTTTTATCACAGTATCTGCATAAATGTTATGTACGTTAAACATACGTATATTTATGCTGATTCTTTATTATTAAATATCTTTAAATATAACACACAGCGATAATATTCGGTAGAAACAGTTCAACGCAAAATGCGAAAACGAAATTAATAGCCCTTCTGGGCTAACGCGCTTTGGGATAAAAACGCAAAAATAGAACATAACAGCTTTCATTGTCAGTGCTTAAAAAAAAAAAAAAAAAAAAAAAAAAAAATCGATAGGCCTTATTTAATTTAATAAAATCGAAAAGTTGAGCAAGTTGCATATTTTTGAGAGGATAAATATGCCACGAAACCTTCAAAATCATTTTTTAGTTCATCACGCACGCATATCTGCACACAAAAATAACAATACCTATTATTCTTCTGCATCTCTGTTTAAAAATGTTTTAAAAAAACATATGTACCGAAAAACATTTATTTGTAAAGTAAAATATTTTTTTTTTTTCGAAAATATTTTAAATAAATTTAAAAAAGAAGATTTTTCGCGATCATATTTTGCCGCGGTTAAGCCCGTGCAGCTGTCTGTCTGTCTGTCAGGTACTGAAAAAAATCAGTACCTCGGTACTTACGTGAAAACGTGGTTTGGACTTTGCCAAAGCTAAGTTTACTTTTAATCTATTTTCATCCATTACATTTTTTAATATTATTTTTCACTTGAAATTTGTTTTAATACTTTGTTTTCATAGATACATATCATTACTATTATTTTTATTTTCCTTTTTTTTTTTTTTTTTTTTTTTGTAACAGTACTTTCTAGTTTGAACTTTTCACTTCTCTATCTTCCTATAATGAACTAATATTGTTTAATTAAACTTATAATTACTTTTCATCTTTATTAAACTTTTTTATTTCTGATAGTTTTGACTTTTGCATAATTGCCAAGTTTCTGAAATTTCTAACAATAAATTTCATTAAACTATTTCTGTCACTGTACTGACTTTTTTGAATATGGCTTCTTTGCATGAAAAACTGAAATATTTCTGTTTAATTACTGACATGCATTTAATTAATACAGAGGCAGCTGCACTCGAGTTTGCCACCGATGCTGGACTTCTTCCCAGAGAGGATGAGGCACCACCTTGCCCCAAGTGCCAGGCACCGATGAGAAGCAACAAGAGAAAGGAATCAAAGCTGGGATGGCGTTGGGTCTGCAGCCTGAGAAATCGCAACAACTGCTCTGGCATGATTAACCCCATTGAAAACACATTTTTTGAAGGTACAAAAATCCCAATAAGGGAAGCTTTAGTCATAACTGTGTACTTTGTTCTAGATCACAGTTTCAGCTACATAAATCAGCAGCTAAAGCTATGGAGGGAAAAGCAAAAATTACCAGTAATTGCAAATGAGACTATTGTTGACTTTTTATCATATTGTCGTGAGGTATGCGAAATTTTTGCCTCTCATCATAGCAGAATGTTAGGTGGTAAAGGAAAATCTATATTAATTGATGAAACATTTTTGACCCGCCGCAAGTACAACCGCGGCAGGGTAACCAAAAATATGACCATCGTAGTTTTAGGCATCTACTGTCGAGAAGACAAAGAAGGATTATTTTTCAAGGTTAAAGGAAAAAGCAAAAGGCATTTGTGGCCTTACATTAAACGTCATGTTCACCCAGAAACCACCTTCATATACACTGACTCTGCTCCACAATATAAAAGGATAGAAAATTTATTTCCGGCAGCAACACATAAAACTACCAATCACAAGAAAGGTAAATATGTGTCTTTTTTTTTTAATGAGTGACATTTTTTTTTCATCCTTAACATTCATTAATCCTTTATTTACAGGCGTATTCGTAGATCCCGATGATAAACAGAACACTATAAATGATCTTGAGGGTGAAAACAAACTTTTTAAGAGGTCTATAAAGAGCAAGAGAACAGATGATATTTGCACGCAGTACATGGCTGTACATTATTACAGGCGGTTCCGCTTGAAGCCCTTTACTTATGATGGAGAAAGACTTGCTCAGTTTCTACAGGACATTAAAGCTGTGTATCCAGGCCATGGAAAAGTCGGCCTTGAACTTAAAATGTTGGACGAACCAACATCAGAAAGCGAAGGAATTGAGGACCTGATGCCTCCAAAGAAATCAGCCCGACAAGATGATGATATACCATTCATTCAGGAAGATGATGATAAATGGGGTAAAACCAACAAATATAACTTTATTTTTGACATAATTTATTTATTTACATATATATACATACAAAAATTGCATTTAAATATTAAATTACATACCATTATAATCTATGTGCTTATTTTTCAGAGTAAGGGAACACAGACCAAGTTTTAAAACTGGAATAAATGATAAGAAAAGCATACAAGTAAATTGTTTACTATAATTTGTGTAAATGTTCAGATGGTCCACAAATTTTGATTTAATACCTTTTTGTTTTTCACTACATGAAATTGTTATTTTTTATTTCCTTTTAGAATTCAACCAAAAAACAGAGCCCAGAAAACAAAAGGATGGAAATGTTGCGAAAATGTTGCATATCTTTTACAGAAAGAGGTAAATGTGTATTTCAGTTATTCTCAACTTTTATTTTGACGTGAGAGCTATTCTTTATATATTTTGTTATTCCTTCATTAAAATAAACTTTCTTTCACAGCTGCAGATCCAAAATGTCATGAAATACTATGACAGAGGTAAGACAAAATTTTAACCATTCACAGCTTATGTTTCAAATTAGTGCTTCACTTTATTTTAATACTACTCCTTCAGTAAAAGCAACTGTAAAATTTATTTAGTTATTATTAGTATAAGTTTACCTACTTATTTTTCAGTAAAAAAAACTTTATTGCAAATTAGGTAATCCAAAAAAATAAATAAAAGAAAGAAGAAAACTAATTTTGACAGATAAATTGACAAACATAGAGGTGAGTTGATTAATTTAAAGGTTTCCAGCCTACTTCTTACCAGAAAACATTTTATTGTTAAGGATAATTTATCACCCCTTTCAGGTAAAGAATATTGCAGAAATGAGAAATGAATCATGGAAAGAAATGAATCTTCAGTCAGAAAATATACAGGTGAATTCATTACTTTTAATGTTTCCAGCCTGTTTATTTTAATTATGTATTTTCATACTACGTTTATTATTTTAATTTTACCGTTTATTTATTATTTTAAATATAAGGATTCAATCTTACATTATTAACTTCTTAAACTTGCCACCCTTTTGTGGTAATTGTGTATTTTTGTACTATGTTCAATTATTATTTTCTAGTTAAAAAGAGTATGTAGTTAACAAAAGATTAAAACTAAACAACAGAAAGAACACTTTTAGAAAAAATATTAAAACATTTAATAAAAGTGTTTATATATACGCTAACTTATGTTTTCATTATCGTAACCTTGTTTAGTTATCTTGTATTATGAATATGCATAATATGGATATTTTGTTTAGGGACTTCAAAAATAACATTTTGCTGCCACTTAGACGAGGGAAGAAGCAGATGGAGAAATCAACTCGGATGACAAACCCAGTACCTGGGGGTATAGCCAGGTTTTTCTTTCAAGAAACACATCCGAGTTGAAACGACTGATGCGGGCCACACCTGAAAGCGAAGGAACTGAGCAACTGCTGCCACCGCAGGAAATCTCGACGATCATGAAATTTAAAATCTTGTTTACTTATCTTGTATTTTGAATATGCATAATATGGATATTTTGTTTAGGGACTTCAAAAATAACATTTTGCTGCCACTTAGACGAGGGAAGAAGCAGATGGAGAAATCAACTCGGATGACAAACCCAGTACCTGGGGGTATAGCCAGGTTTTTCTTTCAAGAAACACATCCGAGTTGAAACGACTGATGCGGGCCACACCTGAAAGCGAAGGAACTGAGCAACTGCTGCCACCGCAGGAAATCTCGACGATCATGAAATTTAAAATCTTGTTTACTTATCTTGTATTTTGAATATGCATAATATGGATATTTTGTTTAGGGACTTCAAAAATAACATTTTGCTGCCACTTAGACGAGGGAAGAAGCAGATGGAGAAATCAACTCGGATGACAAACCCAGTACCTGGGGGTATAGCCAGGTTTTTCTTTCAAGAAACACATCCGAGTTGAAACGACTGATGCGGGCCACACCTGAAAGCGAAGGAACTGAGCAACTGCTGCCACCGCAGGAAATCTCGACGATCATGAAATTTAAAATCTTGTTTACTTATCTTGTATTTTGAATATGCATAATATGGATATTTTGTTTAGGGACTTCAAAAATAACATTTTGCTGCCACTTAGACGAGGGAAGAAGCAGATGGAGAAATCAACTCGGATGACAAACCCAGTACCTGGGGGTATAGCCAGGTTTTTCTTTCAAGAAACACATCCGAGTTGAAACGACTGATGCGGGCCACACCTGAAAGCGAAGGAACTGAGCAACTGCTGCCACCGCAGGAAATCTCGACGATCATGAAATTTAAAATCTTGTTTACTTATCTTGTATTTTGAATATGCATAATATGGATATTTTGTTTAGGGACTTCAAAAATAACATTTTGCTGCCACTTAGACGAGGGAAGAAGCAGATGGAGAAATCAACTCGGATGACAAACCCAGTACCTGGGGGTATAGCCAGGTTTTTCTTTCAAGAAACACATCCGAGTTGAAACGACTGATGCGGGCCACACCTGAAAGCGAAGGAACTGAGCAACTGCTGCCACCACAGGAAATCTCGACGATCATGAAATTTAAAATCTTGTTTATTTATCTTGTATTCTGAACATATATAACATGGATATTTTCTCTACAAAAAACTCCAAATAGTGAACTGCCAAGTAATACTGCTGAAAACTGCAAAATGTGGTGCTGAATGGTAAGTAATATAAAATATATGTGTACACATTAAAATTAGAGGATTATGGCTCCTGGCGAAACCTCGTAAAAAAAAACGCATCAGGATTCCTACCTCCTAGTCTTACACGTACTAGCTTAAAAATTGGGATTATTTGTAACTATTTTGTTTCACTAATATCATTAATCACATTTCTTACTGTTTCTATTTTTTTTATCAAATTTAGATTTAATTAAAAATCACTTTAACCTGCATGTAACGTCATGTAATGTGAAAATAGTGCCTATTTTTTAAATGAAATTATATGATAATACCCGCATAAATATTTTTTATAAATAATTGATTTAAATATAATTATAAAAACTCTAATTTACAAAATTTGGTAATGCTTCAATTAAAATGAATAGTCAAAAAGCAGAAGAAAAGATTTTTCTTTTTTTAAGTACGTGTAAGTCTTAAGGTGATGTGGAAATGGAATCATTTCTAATTTCAAAATGCAAAATGCTTGTAAAAATTGTTCTTTTTCAGATCTGATGAACAGGCCTCGATCTATAAGAGTGGAGTTCAGTGAAACGAAGTATTGGATTTTAACAAGGAATGAATCTATAACAGTTTTTCTTGTGAAAAAATGAAATTTTATAAGTTATCAGCAGAGTCATAGTTACTGTTTTCAGCGCCCAGGGAAAACTGAAGATTTTGTGCCCCTCCCGACTACTGGCCAAAAATGGAAAACATTCAACTCTAAAAATTCGTAACATCATTTTGGCTTCCCTTGGATGATGTGCCCACGGACATATGCCCCCTTTCTAGCCCTGGTTATCATATACACAGTTTCTTGTGAACTTGTTGACTGTGAGAACCTGGATACATATTTTCTTGCAAAACTGTGAGAAACTAGATAAAAATTTTCTTGTGAAAAGATGAAACTGTGAGAACCTGGATAAAAATATTCTTGTGAAAAGGTGAAACTGTGAGAACCTGGATAAAAATTTTCTTGTGAAAAAGTGAAATTTTTATATAAATATAAATAACATAATTTAAGAAGACAAAGATTGTACAAGCAATGTCATCTAGGGGTAAGTACCTTCATTTTGCAATATATGTTTACATTGATAAATTAAAAAATATGAAATTCTAGCATATTGAAACATAAGTTAAGAAATATTTGTTTAAATTTATTAATTAAAAAAGGTGAAATTCTTACATATTGAAACAAAAGTTAAGAAATATATGTTTAAATTGATTAATTAAAAGAGTTGAAATTCTTGCATATTGAAAAATAAGTTAAGAAATGTATGTTTAAATTGATTAATTAAAAAAAAGTTGAAATTCTAACACAGGGAAAAATAGAAAATATATGTTCAAATTGATTAATTAATAAAAAAAAATGAGTGCTATATACTGAAAAATAAGTTTCTTAAAAAGAACTTAGCATATATTACAAATACCTTAATAAATGTTCTAATTTTTCATTTCTCATCCATATATATCATGTTTAACTATCATACACTTACCTGCATAACATAATTAATTTAAATATAAATTCATTATTAATTTAAATGCCAAATAATATAATGCCGAAATTACATGCAAGTCAAATTTTTAGGTTGGAAGCTTTCTTTTAAATCGATTGTTTACAGTTTGAGCGTAAGTACTTCTTCGCCCTATAGCGTTTCATGCAAAACATTTCACTCGTTAAAGTACACGTTAATTAAAATTTCTTGTTCTATTACTTTAGACTGAATTACAATTAGTAAGTTATCATATCATGCTTAGTAATATAACATTAACTATGTTGTACAACATTGAAGAAATAGGGAATGTCAGGCGTCATCATGTCAACATGAACAAGGGTAAGTTCAATTTTTCCTTTTGGCAGTTCACAATTGTTTTCCCTGTCCACTTCCCTCGGATAGGGAAAACAATATTTGGCCGCCATCTTGGATTTCGAAATGCGCTTTTTGGCGCATTTCTGAAATCCAAGATGGCGGCCAAAAACTCGCCAAATTCAGCCAAGAGCCGGGTATCCGAAATGAGCCGAAAATGTATTTATTTGAGAGACATTACACACAGTATTACATTAAATCGTTGCAGTAATGCTTTGACAAAGGTAACGGCTGGCGTTTTGATTATTGGTGATGAAATATTAAAAGGACAAATTGATGACCTGAATTCGTCTTTTCTTATTAAAAATCTTAATCTCTCAGGGATAAAAGATTCAAAAATTGGCGATTGTACCTGATGACGTTCGTATTATTTCAAAAGAAGTATCCGACTTGTCGAAAAATTGTACTGTTGTTCTTACAAGTGGTGGAATTGGACCGACTCACGATGATGTGGCTTTTGAAGCTGTTTCCATAGCTTGTAATGAGGAACTACAAGTAAACGAATATTTGTCAAATTTGTTTATGAACTATTTTGGAGTTCAAGATAATGATAATCCTGCAGTGTTGAAATTTGCATCTATTCCGAAATCAGCCTCCTTAAATTTCGGCAGCAGTAATTTTGCTGGTAGGAAAATTATGTTTCCATTAATATCTGTTAAGAATATATATATGTTTCCTGGAGTTCCTATACTACTACAGAAAGGTTTTGAAATTTTCAAAAGTAGTTTTCTGCTGCAAAACTCACCTCATTTTGATAAGACAATTCATATAATACTGGATGAGTTTTCTGTCACTCCTCTTTTAAATGAAGCAGTGCAAGAATTCAAAGGTAAAGTTAAGTTTGGGTCATATCCTGTATTTAGTAATAATTATTACAAAGTAAAACTTACCCTTGAGAGTTTAAACGCAACCTCTATTCAAGAAGCATATAACTATTTTAAAAGTAAATTACCACCTGGAAGCATAGTGGATTTAAAAGATGATGTGTTAAAAGCAGCAAAAGATGATGTATATGCCCTGAGTGAACATTTTCCTGCAGTATCATCAGCACTGGCTGTGATTGAAGAAATGCTGAAGTCATATTCTTTATCAAATATATGTATATGTTTCAATGGTGGAAAAGACTGCACTGCATTATTGCATTTACTGTATTCTTCTGTACAGAAATTATGTCCAAATGAGTGGAATCATGTTCGGGGTTTATATGTTCGAAATGGTGAAACTTTCCGAGAACTTGAAAATTTTGTACAGGAAATAATCACAAAGTATCAGTTGAATTTAACTATAATAGAAGGTGATATGAAGGAGACTATTTCACAATATTTAAAATCACATCCTCACATAAAAGCTGTAATTATGGGTACAAGGAGATGTGATCCAGATGCAACAGAATTAAAATATTTTTCCCAAACTGATTCAAAATGGCCACCTGTGTTGAAAATTTTACCTCTTCTAGATTGGTCATACAATGATGTTTGGTCTTTTATTCGTAATTTACAGTTGCCATATTGTGTTCTATACGATCGTGGTTATACTTCTCTTGGAATCAAATCAACAAGTTGGCCAAATCCAGCCTTGCTAATAGATAAATGGGAAGGCTATGAAAAGTATAAACCTGCTTATACTTTAACAGATATAAAGGAAGGAAGAAGTGAAAAGTCTTAAGTATAATATAAAAAACTATTTCTTTGTTTTTTTCCACAACTAATCAGATAACTGGAAAAGATTTCATACAAGTTTGATTGGGTAAAGACCAGAATCGCCCACTTATTTGTTTGGTGCTTTTTACAAGAGTAAGAAGAATTGGATTTTTGTCAAGTTTCTTTGACTTTTTAAGTGAAAATAGGTCAATGTGTACATGGATAAAGTCAAGGGAGTGCGCAATGCCATTTTTGTGCAATTCTGGGATTTTTTTTTAAGTGAAAACAGGTTGATGTGTACATGAATACCGACTATGTGCAATTCTTAAAAACGTGCCAAGCAGTGGGTGATTCTACACTTTCCCTGTTTGATTTTTAATCTAAAATTAGAAGAAAAATTAGCTATGTTGTAATGAAAATTGAGAGAAATCTTCATATTCTTTTAAATATGCAGTAAAAAGATTACAAGTATATACTAAATTTCTCTACATAGTTTTAAATGGAGAGAACTCTTAAAATTCTCAAGTCTCATCATATGAATTTATCGAAATTCACAACTGATGAAAACTCTGTAATCTCCACAACTGAAATTCTTTTTCACTTTTGAATGCATATTTAGCACTTTTGTGTTGACATTAATACCAGTACATGCTTTAGTTTTATATATTGCAATTTTTACTGAAGAAAAGTCTTATGTGATCTTCCATCTCAATCAGTCATAACAACTGCAAGGAAGTCTTTGTCAGAATGATGAATAGTCGGGTCTCGGGAAGCGTAATGGCAGACCGCACATTGAGTTGAACAATGTTAAGCAAATTTCGCTTACTGCGCATGCTTGATGGTGTACCTTTGGCGCGGGGAGAAATATTGGTGACTAAGCAACCCTACGCTAGCTTATTCGTGATCATCATGGCTGAGTGTGTTCGAATGATGTTTACAATTGTAATGTTGTGGAACTTTGCTTATTAGTTATTTTAACCTCCATACCGATTGCACTTGCTTATTTTTCTAATATATATTTCATTGTAATTTGTCAATAACAGTGCATTTAATATTTGTTAACATATGTTCGTAATAATTCGTTATTTAAATGTAATTTGTTTACATGTTATATAATTCAGTAATTGTAAACTGGAGTAGCTCGCATAGTTTGTTAGCGTATATTTGGGCTTTTATTTTCTCATTTCAAAGAATTTAATAACTAGCATTAAGGAATTGCAAAATTTCTTCAGTGTTATTTGCAAGCACTTGTTATATTCCTCAGTGTTTCTTTATGTATGTACGAATGGAACGTATGGTAAATCCTGAATTGTTTTTATTGCTTATAAGTATAATGAATAAATTTTCAACTAATATATCCTAAATTTCAGTCTTTTTCTGAACGAAAATTTGTACAGTTCCAAAGGAATGTGCAGAATTTCATAGGTATTATATTTTACATTTTGAATGCAAACACTGCTTCACATTACTTTGCAATAATTTCAGCTTTCTAGTTGTTTGAGCAGTACAGCAAAAAATAGTATTTTAACACAGTAATTAATTTACATTTACATTATACTCTACGAAGATTTAAATGCCAGATTTGTTTACAATCAGATGGCGGTACATCTACCATAAATACGGTAGTATTTATGGTAGATGGTTCTTCTTTTCAAATCGCGCCAACATAGTAATTACGGCAAATTGTTTTCTGGGCATGCGCAGTATGCAACATTCGTTTAACACTGTTCAACTCAATGTGCAGTCTGCCATTACGCTCTCGGGAACAGCTTTAGTAGTGGTCCTTTTGGCGATTTTTTGATTTGGCAACAAATTTTGGTCGCCAAGGTAGACCCGGCTTTGAAGATCGGAAAAAAATGGCGGATTGTCAACAAAACCCAATCTAGACTAAATAACATTTCTAAAAGATAAACTCTTAATCAGAATAAACAGTTTTTCCCTAATTTTCAACATTTCTAGTACTGCTATGATAAATTCTTTAAACAATACCGTTAATGAATTTAAGGCAGTGATTATGTTATGAGAAATCAAATTTACAAAAGATTAATATTTTAAATTACAAATATAATATTAATGTATTAAACATTAATATTTTAAGTAGTTAGTTAATATTTATATTATATTAGTATTTAGCTAATATTTTAAATTTACAAAAGGTTAATTTTTATGTTATGAATAAAGAAATTTACAAAAGGTTAATAAATGCATTTCAAACTAGTATATACTAATTCAGAAGTCAAACAACAAAAATCAGCGTTAATTTACAAAATTTTCACAGGACTAGTTTCGATGGTTTTACCGAACCATCATCTTCAGCTGCAAAACCGCAAATGAACAAGACAGGAAACAATGTTCAGATAAGACAAGAAAGCCTGGACAAGAATAAGCAAGTGGCGCCATCTGTTGGCGAAACCAGAACTAAAACATAATTTCTCTAAAAGCCGAAGGCAAATTTGGATTGGAATTAGGATCGTTAACTAGAACAGAAAGATTTTTATGAATGTGAAATGCCTCTAGAAAATCCCGTTCTCCAATGGAAGATGTTTTTTGAATAATTTTGGCAGCAGAAAAATTGAAAGTGTGATTTTCGGACCAACAATGTTGAGCAACAGAAGACTTCTGTGTTTCCTTTTTTCTAACATATGCCTCATGTTCTTTTCCGCGAAATTTTAAGGCTCTCTTAGTTTGGCCAATGTAAATTAAACCGCACTGGCAAGGAATCCTATAAATACCCCAGGAATTCATATCCGGAATGGGGTCCTTGAGTATAGAAGTTGGAATTTTATTGATGGAGAGTAAAAACCACCCCGAAGTTAAATTTCTTCTGCAAAATATGTGCAACTTTATAGCTAATTGATGGAAAGAAGGGAATGACAACAGAATTTTTATAATCTCCTAAAATAAGAGTGTGGCTTTTAGTGTGTTGAGATGAGAATTTTTTAACTGCTTGATTAATAATGTTGGGTGAAAAGCCCCTGTCAATAGCTATTGCTTTTAAATAATTTAGTTCTTCATCAAGGGCTAGTTTGGAGGAGCAAACTTGAAGAGCACGGAAAACATAGGAATAAAATGAAGCTAACTTTTGTTTAGTCGGATGACATGATTTAAAGTGTGGTGGAAGGCAAACCGATGAAGGTTTACGGTAAACTGTAGTACTGAAGTTGGATATGTTACGTGTGACCAGAATGTCGAGAAACGGAAGAGAATTGCAAGTCTCAAGTTCAAAAGTGAACTGAATAGCAGGATCAATAGAATTCATTGTTGAAAGAACTCTATTTAAATCATCTTTATTACCTTCAAACAGGGTAAAAGTATCGTCTACGTAGCGGAACCATGCCGGGAAGTTTAAAGTTTCAAACAATTTTGATTCATAATAATGCATGTAGATATCAGCCAGGATGGGACTGAGGGGGCTTCCCATGGCTAATCCCTCAGTTTGCTTGTAATATTTATTTTGGAAAACAAAATGTGTTTGTTTTCAAACAGAGTTGAGTGAGAGAAATTAGCTCATCAATTTCGATGCAAGAGAAATGAAATTCGCGAAGTCTGTTTCTAGACATCTTAATGCACCCTCCACTGGGACATTGGTGAATAATGATTTTACATCAAAAGAAACCATGAGTAAATTACGAGGAGAAATGTTTTTAACCTTTTTTACAAACTCTATTGAATTTTTATGGTGTAAATGTTATTGTCTAATAGAGTGGAAAATCTAGAAACTAAATATTTAGCTAATGGATACGAGGCAGTACCTAAATTTGATACAATAGGGCGGAAAGGAATACCACTTTTATGAATTTTGGGAAGAGCATATAATCTGGCACAGTTCGCAACAGATGGGATAAGCGAATGTTTTAAGTTGCTTGAAATGATTTGCGAAGATTTGATCGCAGTTTTTATTTTGGATAAGTCCGAAGGTGAAGGATCTTTAGGGATCGGATTATATGGTCCTTCGTTTAAGAGTTTAGTGACACCATCGATGTAAGTGTTCTTATCCATGACGACTATCTGGCCACCTTTGTCGGCCTTTGAAATGGCAATATCCGGGTTAGAATGAATCTCGCGCATTGTAGCTTTTTCTCTCGCATGTAGATTTGGTTTCAAAGGTTTATTATTGAATTTCACATTATGAGCGATAAGATGCCTAATCATTTCTTTCTGTGAATCTGAAACTTTACTGAACTTGAAAGCTTTTTCGATAGGAGCCAAAATCTTTGGAATCGAGGGTTTACAGGTCTGTGAGAAGTTAAAATTATATTTTAGAATTCTCTCTTGTTCTTCTGAAAGACTAACATTAGAAATATTAACTATTGGCTGGATGTTTACAATGGGAAGATTTTTTGAACTACTTGAACTGGAAGACTGTAAAAGAAGTTTTTCGAATTTAACTGCAAGGGTGTTTTTATGACGGTTAACTGCATTCTCCGTTCTAGACCAAGACTTTTGTTCAAGGGCAGTGCATTTCGGATATGTTTTAGCGAGTTCCAGATGAAGCCTATAGAGTTCATGTTCAATTTTGGACAATTGTTGACGTGTATCCCTTATCACGGACCAAAGTAAGGCAAGTTTGCAATTTAACAGAATTCTTGAAACGCGACTCGAAGGTTTTTGATTAGATTTGATTTGAATAAAATTGGGGATCAATTTTTTACATTTACATTTAAGTAAAAAGTCAAGATCAAGATGATTCAGGAATTTTTGCCGTTTCAGGCGTAATTTAGTGAAACGATTAACGGATGAAGGCATGATAAACAATGCAGAAAATCAAACTAAATTAACTGAGCAATAATAAAGTACACACAAAATAGCAGAAAAATCCCTCACTGAAATGAATAGAAACAACAAACGTTTGTAAGCAAAATGCATGAAATCAGACAAGCAAAGCACAATATCCAAATGTACACAAAACTAAACATAACTTGAAAATTGCAAAAATGTACTCACCGAAACTCCTACAATCACAAAATGGCGGCCACACCACGTGCAAAAAAGAAAGCAAAATGTAAGCCTGTTTGGGGCTTCTAT